ATACTATATTTCAAGACTTACTATTGTCTTCTACTTCTTCCTTGGATTTGGTGGCCTATGTTGATGCTGATTGGGTTGGTGATGCTAATGATCGTAAATCCACTTTTGGTTTCTATCTGTTTCTTGGCAATTCCTTGATGTTTTGGAAAAGCAAGAAACAAATTATTGTTGCCCATTCTACTGCCGAAACTAAGTACCATGCTATGGCTCATGCTATTGCTGAAGTTGTCTGACTTCATTGTCTCCTATCTAATTTGGGCATCCCTCAATCCTCTCCGACCTCTCTCTACTACGACAACCGAAGTGCTATTCAGATTGCCCATAACACAGTCTTTCATGAACGGACGAAGCATATTGAGATTGATTGTCACTTTGTCCGTCAGCATCTGCAGTCTGGCTCTATCTCGCTTCCTTTCGTTTCTTCGACTCTGCAACTTGTTGACTTCTTTACCAAAACTCACACCACTGCTCGGTTTCAGTTTCTTCTTGGCAAACTCTCAGTGTTTTCTGCCCAAACATCTTGAGTTTGAGCGGGTGTAACAAGCCCGCGGGGGACCTCGCTACAGCTCGGACTCGATTTGCGTCACGGTTCTAAGTCTGAACCAAAGAGTCCAAATCCGGCAAATCGTTTTAAGAAAAACAAATTTTTGAAAGAAGTGCCAAACATGGACTGCTTTGCCAGATACAGAGTCGCCATCTAAATATTTTATTTTGGGAAATTTAGGAAACCCTGACTCGGTGCCAAAGGCCACGTGTCCGTCATCACCAAAGTTGCCTCGGCTCAGGAACTTGGGCATCTGCCTCTGCTCACACCTCTCTTTATTCAGGTTTGTTTGGGTCCTCTTCAGGTATTCCTTTCTCTGTTTGGCTTTTGGATTCTGGTACCTCTCATCATATGACTCTCCATATTTCCTTACTCCAAAAATGTATCCCCCCTCCCTTCCCTATTACTATTAATACTGCTAATGGGTCTGGTATGTCTGTCTTATCTGTTGGGTCTGTTTTACCCTCTGCCATGTCCGCTGTTACTATTCCCTCTGTTCTTTATGTTCCTCAACTATCTGTTAGCTTGGTTTCTATCAGTCAGCTTGATGTTTCTTGTTTTGATGTTATCTTTTCTTTTTCTGTCTGTTGTGTGTAGGATTGGGTGTCCAAGAAGCAGATTGGGATCGGCCGTAGAGTTGGGGATCTCTATGTGGTGGAAAGTCTGCATCTTTCTCCGTCTATCTCTCCTGTTGCACTTTTATTTTTTCAATTAGATTCTCAGTTGAGTCAGTTTTATTTATGGCATTCTCGTTTAGGTTATTTGTCTGTTGACCGCTTGCGGTCTTTAGCTCAGTCAGGATTGTTAGGTAAAGTTTTTCCTAGTCAAATTAATGAGTGTCGAGAATGTAAACTTGCTAAAATGACAGCTTTACCTTTTAATAACAGTACTTCTATTTTTGTTTTCTCTTTTTTTCTTATCCATACTGATGTCTGGGGACCTTCTCTTGTTCTCACTAAAGGGTATTTTGCGTACTATGTGAAATTTGTTGATGATTGTACCCACTATACTGGGTTTATCTATGGCTCATAAATCTGACTTCTACCAGGTATATCGTACCTTTCAGTCTATGATCACTACACAGTTTGGGGCCACAATTAAAATACTCCGGTTTAACTTGGGTAGGGAATACTTTAAAATTGAATTCTGTGAGTATTTGGCCAAATTGGGCACCATTCACTAAATCTCCTATACTGATACCCTTGCCTAAACTGGTCGTGCTGAGCGTAAACACCGTTATCTCCTTGAGACAGCTCGATCTCTCCTTCTCTCAGCCTCTGTTCTGGCACCATTCTGGGGTGAGACAGTTCTTAATGCTGCTTTCCTCCTTAATCACATGCCGATTCCCCTACTCTCCGGTCAATCCCCTTATAAGGCTTTGTATTCCCAACCTCCCAATTATTCCCTCTTGCGTGTCTTTGGGTTCGCTTGTTTTGTTCTCTTTCTTCTTCCCTGTAAAGATCGGACCAAACTTAGTGCCCGGTCTGTCTTATGTGTCTTTTTGGGCTACAGTCTTACTCAGAAAGGCTACCACTGTTACGACCCTGTCTCTCGTTGTCTCTATGTCTCTTGTCATGTGGCCTTTCTCGAATGTCTGTCTTACTTTCAGCTCCCCCTCTTACTGCTCCCGTTTCTAAAGAGGATTTGGTTCACATTGATCTATTTCCTTCTGAGGTCCCATCAGATGAGTATATTGCCACTGTTCCTCCTGAGGCCATTCCTACTTCTCCGTCTCCGTCACCTATGGCTCCTTCGCCTTTGGCTGCTTCTTCCCTTCCTTTGTTGGTCTATTCTCGTTGCAAGGCTCCTCCACCACCAGTTGTATCTACTCCTATTGTTGTTTCTTCTGCTTCTGACGACTCTGATCTTGCTGTACACCGCTATCCTTCTCGTGAGCGTCGTCTCCTAAACAGGTTGGGTTGGTCTAATACCTGTTTTTTTGTTTCCTATCGTACTTTTTTGTCTGCTATTCACCTTTTTTTAGAACCTCAGTCTTACAAGGAGGCTTGTCAGGATCCTCATTGGGTTCAAGTTATGGAGGATGAGTTGTCTGCTTTACAGAAAACTAGTACTCGAAAGTTGGTTCCTTTGCCTGCTGGTAAGAATCAGGTTGGTTGCAAATCGGTCTACAAAGTCAAGACTCATTCTGATGGTTCTCTTGAGCGCTACAAAGCTCGTCTGGTTGCCAAAGGTTTCTCATAGGAGTATGGTATTGATTATGAGGAGACTTGCGCTTCTGTTGCCAAGATGACTACTGTCCGTACTTTGATCTCTGTCGTTGCTGTTCGTTCTTGGCCTCTTTATCAGATGGATGTTAAGAATGCTTTTCTTAATGGCCATTTCATTGAGGAGGTTTACATGCGTCCTTCTGGCTTTCACCATTCCTCTGGACAGGTTTGTCGCCTTCGACGTGCTCTATGTGGTCTGAAGCAGTCTCCTCGTGCTTGGTATAATTGCTTTCAGATTGTTGTTACTGAGTTTGGGTTTCATCATTGTGCTTAGGACTCTGCCTTATTTCTTCTCCACACCTCAGTTGGATTTGTTGCATTATTACTCTATGTGAATGATATGATCATCACTAGCTTTGACTCTTCTGCTATCTCTGAGGTCAAGCAGCATCTCTTCCGCACCTTTGAGATGAAGGATCTTGGTCTTTTGCGGTATTTTCTTAGTATTAAAGTTGCTTCTTCTCTAAAAAGCTATTTTCTGTCTCAGGGTAAGTATGTTAATGAGGTCATTCACCGTGCTGATCTTATTGATACTAAGGTTTCTGATACACCTACTGAGCTTAATGTGAAGCTCAACTTTACTGATGGTGTCCCACTGGATGATCCCACTGGATATCGCGAGCTTGTGGGTTGCTTAGTTTATCTGAGGGTTACTCTTATTGATTTTGCCTATGCTGTGCATGTGGTTAGCCAGTTTGTTTCTGCTCCTCGCTCTCCACATTGTGCTGCATTTGTTCAGATTCTTCGCTATCTCCGAGGTGCTATTTTTCAGGGTTTACTATTGTCCTCTACTTCCTCTCTGGATTTAGTGGCCTATGCTGATTTTGATTGGGCTGGTGATGTTATTGATCGCAAGTTCATGTCTAGTTTCTATATGTTTCTTGGCTATTCCTTGATCTCTTGGAAAAGTAAGAAACAAACTGTTGTTGCTCCCTCTACTGCCAAAGCTGAGTAGCGTGCTATGGTTCATGTTACTACGGAGATTGTTTGGCTTCGTTGTTTATTATCTGATTTGGGTGTTCCTTAGTCTTCTTCGACCTCCCTCTATTGTGACAACCGCAGTGCTATTCAGATTGCCCACAATACTGTCTTCCATGAACGAACGAAACACATTGAGATTGATTGTCACTTTGTCTAACAGCATCTGCAGTCTGACTCTATCTCGCTTCCTTTTGTCTCTTCGGCTTTGCAATTTGTGGACTTCTTCACAAAGACTCACACTACCACTCGGTTTTAATTTCTTCGTAGCAAACTCTCAGTGTTTTCTGCTAAAACACCTTGAGTTTGCGGGGGTGTGAGAAATATATTGTGTATAGAATTAGGGAAGATTGTATTGTGTATAGAATTAGGAAAGATTGTGGTGGTGTAACTATTTGGATGTATTTCCTTTTTTCGTATTTTTCTTTTTCCATCATAGGTTTAGGGTTATATAAACTGGTGACCTCCTTGTAAAGATGCACAATTGAATATACAGAAAACCATTCAGAAAACTTACAAACACAATTAGACCGAGGTGAAGAGCAGAACACAATTAGACCCAGGTGAGAACATCAGCTATAAAATTGATAGCAAATTACACATACCAAAGTGAGGGTTTTCTACTGTTTCTAATATGTGATTGTGCAAGATCATTATCAACTTGAGGGTACCATGGTAATGCAAGATTGCATGAACTATAGGGTGTCTAAATTCAAAATTTTTACTGATATTATATGACAGTGAGAGGAGTTGTTTTCTATAACAGTTTAATCATTTAATAAGTCTGCAAAAGAAAAATTCCTTGTCCCTTGGGAATAATCAGAGAAGCAGGTACAGTAAGTCCGACAACGAGGCATAGGATGATCCGTGAAACCAGTCAGATCATCCTACCAGTTGAGTTATTGAGCTTTCCTTGCCTAGTCGTGTGTAGGTCTTTGTCAGACCAAGTGATGGACATGATCTCTTGAAGGATATATGCCCAATCGTATTTGACTGGGGATGGGAAAGTTTGGCGCTGGCAACGAATCATTTACTAGAATCCCCAGAAGTATTGCTCCTTTTGCATATATTATTAGTTCAACTATACTTCCGCCATTCTGTGACTTATTTTTAATGAGCCTCGACTATTGGCCTTCCTTCTTGTAGCCAAAATCTTTGTAGTTCTTAGTTTTGGGGTTTGTGATTAGACTAAATCTATGAATAATGTTTTTAGAGTAAATTATTTTTGTCTGACTTAATGGTGTTTCTAGGAATGGATGCAACCAAATTGGGGAATCCTAATTCATACAAAAAGGCAGGAGGTTCTGCTCAAACTCGATTGACTGAACCATTCAACTCAGAGAGTAAGATAGATGAATTTTCCAGTGCCAAAGTTGTAGAGAGCAAAATGGATGAAATTCAGCCTGACAAGGAGCAGATGCAGACATCAAAACTGATTGCTGGTTCAGAAACCAAGCAAGCAAAGGGAGCGCTACCAGAAGGCTTTTTTGATGACAAAGATGCTGATCTACGTGCACGCGGCATTACGCCTGTTAAGCTAGATGTCAAGTAAGTTTATACTTCTGTTTTATTATTTATTTATTTATTTATTATTGCAAGTTCATACTTCTGTTTAGACATGCATGTTGAATGATCTTATTCTTTTGACTCTGATGTTGATGTGATATTTTCTTTTCAATACCGTATTCTATTTTCTATATCATGATATTTTTATGAGGAATACTACAAACCCTGAAAAATATACCCAGAATTTACCGAAAAACATCAATGTATGGTTCAGATTCATTCTACACGTGTACCCCACAATACACAATTTCAATCTTCACCACGCAACCCATTCTTGGCCACAATCTGGATCCCTAGACTTTCTGTATTTTTAATGCTTTGTAGAAGTTGCCATGCCATACTTATTCCTTTTTATTTTTATTTTATTCTTTTTCAATTCCCCACCCCCCCCAAAAAAAAAAAAAATAAAAATAAAATAAAACTAGAGAAATAAAAATAAAAATAAAAATAAAAATAAAATAAAACTAAACTAGAGAATTGTAAGTTTGATGGGTTTTCGCCAATATATCTGTGTGAAAAAACTGCGATCTTGTTTTGATGTTCATTTCTGATGGTATTTGAGTAGTACATTATTTTTAAGCTGATAAAGTGATCATCATCATCATTATTTTGGTCTCCTCGTCCTTTCTTTCATGTTTACCTTTACCATTAATGAAAAATAAGCGTTTTGGTAATTATTAGCTGTTTGGCGTAAATGGTAGGAGAAATTCAGTGTTTCTTATTTTCTGAAAACTTCAACTTCTTCAGCATTGTATTATAATTTCATACCACAATATGCTCTGCCTATTTCAAACAGTTTAAAGAATTTAGTGTTGGACAATCTGAATTTCAATTTCAGAAACTAAGAGATCTAGTATTACAATTTAAAGCAAATGAATCTGTAAACCAGTACAGCACACTCGCAGAATGAGATGCAGAGACTGGAGATGGAGAATAGATCAAGTGGAGTGTTCAACACTCTCTTCTTAAGACAGATTTGTCCTTCCCATGGTGCTTCGGAGCATTGGACGTCTATCTCCTAGGATGAAATGGTCTTTGTGGTCTAGTTGCAGCACTATAAGAAGACTGTTGGTGAACCAATTTATGTATGTACTCTCTTGCTGGTAACTGGACTCTCAAATATGCAAGGTATGAAGCAGGGAAGAAAGGAGGAAAGAAACGAATGAATTCAATGCTGGAATGGCTGGAGGGACTGTATTTATAGGCAGTGAAGTACCTGTTTGGACTGACCAAAAAGTGGTGACTGGAAAGGATGCAACTTTCCTAACGCATGTGGCCAAAAATTGCAGAGAGAAACGGAAAGTCGCAGTCAGTCGGACGGGGACATTACTGTTTGCAGAAAATTTGTATTTGAATTTCAAAATTTCTGGCAAAAATATTGAATTGAAAATTCAAATAAATTTGGCTCAAAAAGACATATATACGGGTTGATCAAACCCACAACCCGAGCTCGGATTGGGGGGCGGCGGCGGCGGCCTGTGAATTTTTGGATCCAACCCACTTTGGTCCATAACTCCAATCTATGAAGCACGGACACCTCTCCGAGGGCTCCGTACCAGTGTCAGACACGTGTCGGACACGGACACGCGTCGGACACGCAGTGGACACGTGTCCGACACCGCACTAGAGAGTGTCCAATTTTTTTTTATTTTTTTTGAAGCCGGACACGTCCAGGACACGTTGTGGACATTTTCGGGACACGCACGGGGTCAAGTTCAGAATTTACATAACATTTTTAGGGTCAATCTGTAAAAAAAACAAAAATAACTTATATTTGCCCTAAATCGATCAAAGATAGCAGAGAACAAAAAGAGAAAGAGAGAAGGCAAAGATAACAGAGGAGAAAGAGAACTTGGTCGCTCGTCCGTCGCTCGTCATCGCTTGTCGCTGCTTGTAGCTCGTCGCTCATCGTTCGTCGTCGCTCCTCGGCCGTCGCTCGTAAGGTACACCTTCTTCTTCCTTCCTCAGCTTCGGTCTTCTTCTTTCTTCTTCTGGTCTTCATTCGTTCGTCTCTCTCTCTCTCTCTCTCTCTCTCGACGTCTTCTCTCTCTCTCTCTCTCTGTCCAGTGTTTTTAAAGGCTCAAGGCGCACTAAGGCGCCGAAGGTCTCTTGGAGCCTAGGCGCAAGGCGCAAGGCGAGGCGCGGGCTTTATTGAAGTACCTTATTTCAGAATATATATATATATATATATTTATCAATTAGTTTTGTTAATGTCTTATATTTTCAGAATATATATATATATATTTATTAATTAGTTTTGTTAATATGTTTTATTTGAAAATACATATATATTTTATTAGTTTTGTTAATTTTAATAATAATGTGTGTTTATTAATTTTATTATAGGAACAAATTTTTCATGCATTTTGTAACAAATGATGGTTGGTAGCTTCATGACCAAAAAGTGGTGACTGGAAAGGATGCAACTTTCCTAACGCATGTGGCCAAAAATTGCAGAGAGAAACTGGAAAGTCGCAGTCAGTTGGACGGGGACATTACTGTTTGCGGAAAATTTGTATTTGAATTTCAAAATTTCCGGCAAAAATATTGAATTGAAAATTCAAATAAATTTGGCTCAAAAAGACATATATACGGGTTGATCAAACCCACAACCCAAGCTCGGCTTGGGGGGCGACGGCGGCCTGTGAATTTTTGGATCCAACCCACTTTGGTCCATAACTCCAATCTTTGCAAAACTTGGGTGCCTTTTGGGCCCAAACCAAAGTGTCAAACTTGAAACTTAAATATGCACTTAAGTTCTCCTAGCTTTCCTTATGTGGGACAAGCATATTACACTTGACATGTTGGCAACCCACCAACATACACCATGTTCAAATGGCTCACTTTGGTGTCAATTTTCCATTCGCTCATAAATAGTTTTGAACAACCAGTAACATATTCTTAATCTCCACATGGGAAATGAACACATCACCACTCAAACTCATCCAAACCGATGTGTAGGTCCCAACCTAATTTTAGCTGTAAGTTTTCGAAAACAGATGATTTTGTAAACCATTTTCTAACAATTAGATGCTGGGACAATTCTTTCCCATTATTTTTCTTATATTATTACACGGAGCACAGCATAACCTGAATTTTATGGCATATCCTGGACAGGGATGAGTACAAGGAATTTGAAAAGTTGATCCAACAGGACTTGCAGAAGGTGGACAACCGTTTGGAGGAAGAGGAGGTCAGGTTTATCATCTTCTGACACCATCCATAGAACCATTTCTACACTCTACCACAAGGTTACATTGTGTACTTGATCATTAACCTATTGTTGGAAATTGTATACCACAGATTGATGCAGCTGAGACGATAGAAGAGGCAGAGTCTGTGGAGCAAAAGTAAGTCCAGTGTTGTGTAATTATATGATAGATGTGCTATATATCCTCTTCTTATCATTAACTGTAAATAGTTTTAAGGGCCATGTCAAATCTTTCTTTACAATCTCTGCAGGACCTATTGGGAGAGAGTGGAAACATTGAAGAAGAAGAAAATGGAGCTAATGGCTGCTAGGTCTGCCACACATAGTAGAGGTCCTCAAGTCATGGGCAAGGAGTCTAACCATGAAGAGTCGTCTAGTGATGACGACAATGATGAGAATTTTACAGTTGATTGGAGAGCTAAACATCTGTAAATGTTATCCATGAGTGCTGGTCTCTCTCTCTCTCTCTCTCTCTCCTATGTGTGTGAGCATGCTCACACAGTGCATTCATGTAGATTAACAAGCAATCATTCGCTAGAAAGGTTTGCAATGCTGGTAGCATGCTAGAATTTTTTTTCTTCTTCTTTGTGGGATGCTAACTAGCTGATTTTTGGCCAAACTGATTGCAGAATGAAGGGTTCAATTGGACCATTTGTCACGGTAAGCTTCTTCACCTATGAAGGCCCTTCTGGAAGGTTTTGTTCAATTTCCATGTACATAGTGCAAACTGAGTGGATTTGGCTTGTGAAGAGCTCGATTAGTACAGCTTCTTTGAGATTGTAAACTGGGTTAAGTCAGTCAAATCGCACCTGCACAAAACTAGTTGCAATGCAAGCAAAGTGTGAAGAATATTATAACCTTTGACTTCTACATTTATAGGAGTTTATTTAGCAGAGCAGCTTATAAAGAAAGGAAATTAGTTGTCATAACTGTGTGTATCATTTTAGACCCATATTGATACATCTGAGTTTGTACCTGTAAAACTGCATCTAACATTTTTAGCTCACAAGATCTTAAATGTCTGATGAAGCAGTTAAGTTTGAACTACTATAAGTTCTGCTGAACTGGTTATACATGACACGTAGTGGAAGCGAACACCATAAATTATTAGTGAAGTGGAAAATCTGTATTTTTAATTTTAATTTCTTTATTTTGGTATTACATCAAGAAACAGTTATATATGTATGCATTTAACCGAAGGGATTGAGAGAGGGGGATAGGATAGGAAGTGCATGATGGGGACAAAGGTCGAATTGGTAACCTCTCGTTTAGAATGTATTTAACCTATGACTGATGTGTATTTCGAAAAATCTGTAGTGTTCTAGTCTAATAGATTTCTCCTGCCAACAATCTCGGTTCGTTTTTGGCCAAATTATGTGATTATGTTTATTTTTTCCCCACATCTTGAACTTCAACAACGTATGCTTCTTGTTATAAGAAACAAAGATTTTTCTTAAATGTAGTTTTACATTTGTAGTGTGAGCTGAGCTATAATTGAAATCAATATGATCTAAATATTTTAAATTTTAAATATTTTTTTGGTAGTTTTTGTATGTAAAATTCTGTATTTAAAAAAAATAAAATAAAATAAAAAAACTGGTAATGATATCTACACATTGTCAATCCATGGCACAAGAATGAGTCATTGCTTTGTCATCTTCAGCTTCCTCTTATAAATTTAAGTCTGACCAAACAGGCCTTTATTAGGAGTTCGGATCCTCTCTAGTATCTCTTTCCAGTGCTTCCTACGAGGGACAGTTCAGAGTGGGCCACGTCTCCCACTTAACAATGTGCGGCTCAGATTTGCTTCAACACCAAAAAAACAAAAAAGTAAAAATCCATAATTTCACTCAAAACAGTCCGTTCTCACCCTCTGAAGTTCTTGACTAGCGATCACTTCCTTCTCGCGACAGCAAAGCTCTTTGGTGAACATCAACGACGACCCCCCCTCCTGAAACCCACTCTCGCGAAGTGGCTTGAAAATGTTCTCGGTCTCTCCCCCCTCTCTCCTTCCCTCAGCACATCATCCTCAATCTCTCTGTGTAAAATGATATGTCCCTACTTGTATGATAGATTTGGTTGTCAAGCCTCATAAACAGTGAACTGATTTTGTCTAAGGTCCAAAACCTCTTAGTAAGCAAATGTGGTAATAAACAGATTCATACAAATCACCAAAAGGGTTCCCACACTCATCAATCTCCACACTCATCAATAGGGCAAAATTAGAGCACAATTCGTTAGTTACTCTACACTCATCAATCTTATTTTTCCCAATTTTTTTGAGCCATACACATCACCAAGGTGAACTATATCTATTAGGAAAAAAATTAGGGCAAAATATATCTATAAAATTAGGGTTCTTTGGATTAATAATGTGTGTGTGAGAGAGAGAGAGAGAGAAACTTTGCCCGCAGTTCGGAAAAAGGATTTAGGTATTGCCATTGGTGTACATTATGATGGTCGTCATCTTCCTCTTCCTTTGTTAACCATCTTCCTTCGTGGAGTTCAAGTCTGTGAGAATGAGAGAAGAGAATCACCGTTCTAAGGGATTTTTTTTTTTATATTTCTTGTGCTAAAGCGGATCTGAGCCATTCATTGTTAAGTTGGGGATGTGGCCCAATCTGAACTGTCCCCGTAGGAAGAATTGGAGAGAGATACTAGAGAGGATCCGAACTTCTATATTAAGGTCTCGTTTGAAAATTCTCTTTTTTAATTAAAAAGTTATTAAATTAGTCAAAAAATTAATAATTTATACTAAAATGTTAAAGATTATTTTTATTTTTTATTTTTTACACATCTTTTCATAAAAAGTTAAAAAATCATCTCAAATATATTAATTTTTTTTAGCTCATATTTTAGCTAAATAATTAAAAAATTACCAAATTAATTTATTCCCAAACGGACCTAAATGCTAAGATTACATAGTCTTTTCCAACCCTCTTTTAGATAGGCTTATATCCAATAATTGACTAGAATTTTTTCTTTTCCGCTGAATCCAAAAAAAAAAAAAAACTAGAATTTTCTTTTTTTAAAATCACGGGAATTCTTTGTCTAAAATTTTATCTTTTTACTTTAATTATCTAGTCATTAAATTATATTTAGGGCAAATCACAAATAGAATCTCAAGGTTTAGCGTGCTTTGCAATTTAAATCCTAGATTTTTAATTTTTTTTTTTATTTTTTACACATCTTTTTATAAAAAGTTAAAAAATCATGTCAAATATATTAATTTTTTTAGTACATATTTTAGCTAAATAATTAAAAAATTACCAAATTAATTTATTCCCAAACGGACCTAAATGCTAAGATTACATAGTCTTTTCCAACCCTCTTTTAGATAGGCTTATATCCAATAATTGACTAGAATTTTTTCTTTTCCGCTGAATCCAAAAAAAAAAAAAAACTAGAATTTTCCTCTTAATCCAAAAAAAAAAAAACTAGAATTTTCTTTTTTTAAAATCACGGGAATTCTTTGTCTAAAATTTTATCTTTTTACTTTAATTATCTAGTCATTAAATTATATTTAGGGCAAATCACAAATAGAATCTCAAGGTTTAGCGTGCTTTGCAATTTAAATCCTAGATTTTTAATTTTGACAATTAAAACCTTGTAGTCATTCTGTGTCACTATGTAAGCCTTCTGTCCATCTCCGTTTCATGAAGTAACGGAGAAAGTTATTTTTAGTGCCAAAACTAACCTAAAACGACGCCGTCTAGAGAGAGTAACGGAAATATTTTTCTTTTGACACATGTCATTTTCTTATTTGTTATTATTAGTTAATATAAAATGGAAATACCCATTTTACCAACACCCCTAACTTTTACAAACCCTAACCCTAATCCCCACCCTTTGCCCAACTCCGGCAGCTCCAGTCACCACTCCCTCCATTTTTTTTGGCGATATCTCCGTCATTTCCCACATCCGGCGCAACCACTGAACCACTCCCTTATCTTCGGTGCAATCCCTTTCACCCTCACTTCTTTCTCGCCACTACCACCCCTCATAATCCTTCTCCATTCTCTACGGCATAGCCTCTACAACCCCATTGCCCCATTTTCCCTAATCTGCAACCCCACCGCTCCCTCCCTCCGATCTGTAATTATAATCTTTTTCTTCTTTTACTTAACGCCGCGACGACCCCTTGCAACTCTCTATCTCTCTCTTTCTCGCGCGTGCACAGGTGTTTGACAAAGGACAATCGATCAATGATCAGCAGTTTGACGAGATGAATCTGGACTGTTGCTATTTGTTTGGAAAAATAGAACCGAACGCAGGTCATTCCTTCGGCATTGGTTATCCGAACGAGAAGAACGAGGTTGGACCTCGCCAAGGGAAGAAGAGGAGGAACGGAGAAGGATGACATGGGGTTAAGATAGGAGATGGAGGGTTGTGTTGGAAATAGAGGAGGATTTGAAGGTGGCGCCAGAGGAGGAGGTGACCGGAGCTGCAGAGATATATTGGGTGAAAGTGTTTAGGATTAGGGTTTGAGAAGGTAGGGGTAATGTTGGTATTATGGTGGGGTGAAAGTGGTAGGGTAAAGGTTTAATAATAACAAATAAGAAAGTGACATGTGTCAAAAGAAAAATATTTCCGTTACTGTCTCTAAATGGCGTCGTTTTGGGTTGGTTTTGGTACTAAAAATGGCTTCCTCCATTACTTCATGAAACGGAGATGGACGGGGGGCTTACATTGTGATAGAGAATGAACTACAGGATTTTAATTGTCAAAATTAAAAACTTGGGGTTTACATTGCAAAACACGCTAAACCTTAGAGTTTTATTTGTAATTTGCCCTTATATTTAATATTTTAATATTTTTTAAAATTCTCACATAATTAATTGAATTAAGACAAAAAAAATTTATAACAAAAAAGAAAACTTACAAACCCTGGCTAATGACACCTAATTTAAAAGGAGAAATTACAAATTAGAATATAAGACAAAATAATCACAAACACATGAAAGACGTAATTTTTCTGTGAAAAATCACAATAAAAATTGTATTTCTCATCATTTGATATATAATTCCACTTGTCAATGTCTTATAATTTCTCCAATTTAAAACACCTCAACCAAGTAATGTGAATGTGATCGCTAAAAAATTATGCACTCAAGTGGGAATTGAGCAAATGGTGTGTGT